TGGGATTTGGATGCAGTTGAAATAAATAAGCAATTATTATAGTGGCTTTCACAGGTTTGTACTCTCTGAATAAAGAATAAGCTCTTACATGAAAAGCTAACCATAGTTGTCAGCTAGATGTTTTGCCTGACTTCTAGGGTAGTAAGTGCCTTGTTTAAAACAAACAAACAAATTGTGTATGTGTGTGTGTTGAAACAACTTTTGGCAATAAGGTTCAAAGGGGCTGATTTATTTAAAAACAAAATTGATTTTTGTTATATGTTATAACCTGGGCTCATATTATTTATAGGCGAGTGGCTGAACTGTTTATGTTTGATTTTGAAATCAGTGGCATCCATCTAGACAAAGAAAAGGTAAATCTTTCTTCTTTTTTTGACTCTTCCTATTTTACTGACATTTAGTTGGTATCTTTGTTGCTACGGTCCTTGTATATATTGCTTGAATATTATAAAAATGCTCAGGTCTTTTATCTGTCATGAAATTCTTCTTTAGGCTGTGTTTGAATGTAGTGCTCTTTGGAAGTTGGCCTACCACCCCATGATAATTCAGATTAAGAAAGATAAGACAGTTTTGGTGTTTTAGATGTCATGGAATTACGATGAGATGGGCCATCTCAGGAAAGACTGACTAGGAAAGCTGATGTCACCGAAGATGGGAGTACAGGCACTATCATTAAGACCTTTACATGAGTGTATTTGTTATATCATACATGTCCTTGACAGAGCCATACACTTTTGTTCTTACGGTAGTGAGTACAGGTTTATGCTGGGATGCATGGCCTTATACCTCGTGCGGCCCCTCGGTTTACAGATGTGGAAACCAGGACAAATGATTTGTTCACGTTCCTGTCGTTCTAAAGCTAGCCACTGCTCTTTCTAGCATGTGGCATTCTAGGTATCAAGCCTCAGGGTTGGAAGAATGGAGGTTGTGGGGGGGATTTGACACCCATGAAAGACCAGCCTGCCCCATGGTATCTCCCTGAGCCACCTACAGGCTAGACTGTTACAGTTATGCATTTTTGTTTTAAAGATAGATGTTTTTCCTAATAAATATAGTATAATTAAGCCACTTACCTATGAACAGCAATTAGTTTATCACAATATCTTGGAAAGTAGAAAGCAAGGTCTTGGGGATACGTATCACATATAATGTATATTATCATTTAGATTAGTGCTGGGTTTGGGTGATGCTGGAGCCACTCACACATGGCTTTCATGGCTCAGCACGTGATTCCTGGTCTGACTTTGAGCTGGGATGTGCCTTCCCAGCAGCCTGTGAGGCTGATGGGCTCTACTGTAAACTCGCATTGCCTGAAGTGACCAATTTGCGCCTCTCCAAACCAGTTAGTTCTTCATTAATACCTCTCTGTAAAATAAAATTCTGGAGTCAGGTTGTATTTTTTCCCTTCCCAGTGTTCTCATATCTTAATTAGTGACCAAGTCCTTGGATTGTTCCTTTAGACCTGTGTGTATCTGCATCCCCAAAACAAGTCACCTTGATCCTTATCACCAATACCTGGGCTGTCCTAAAGGCCTTTGTCTTCCTAACACTCATTGTAATTCCATCAACTGAGCATTTGCTATTTTAAAGCATATGTTTTTCAAGTCTTCACAACACCTTTGAGGTTGGTACTACTGTGAGTCCTGTTTTATGGGGAAAGAAACTGAGGCACCTAGAGATTGTGGCAGATAATTTTGTAAGCCAGACAGACTCCAGAGCCTGCACTGCCTGTGCTGCTCACCAGCTCTGCCTGGCTGAAATCCCAGGAATCCTTTAACTTTGGGCCACGTTGTGGTCTGGGAAGCTTTTATCAGTCCCCCCAGGTGGAATTTTGCATTCATCTGAACTCACATTCTACTTATTTCACTCATATGGCATTTATCTTTAACTGCCTTTTATGAATGATGCTGTTATTGCATCGCTTATTATAATAATTATAGTCTTATCAAAGACCAAGAGCATGGATCATGGTTTTTAATGCATTACCAGTTTTTGACTCAATGTAATATTGAATGAACGTATGTTGAATCATAATAATGCTAGCTAACAGTAATCAAGTTTGGTATCTTCAGAAGGAAGGTTGCTAACAGAGAATATATTAATGGTTTTATTGTTTTATATACTTTCAAAACTTTGCTGACAAATGGTGTATGTTCAGTTTCACCAGCATAAACATTGCTGCTTTTATCTAACATGTGTTCTTACAGTATAGCTGCTCTTTCCCAGCAAGCACCTCCCCAAGGAACCATCAACATTAAAGATGTAACCAACTCAAGTAGTCCTGCTAAATTCCTCTCTCTTGTAACTTCCATGGCTGTTCTCACAGGTGCTCCACTAGGACAGGATATAAGGAAGACACGTTACTTTTTTAAAAAGACAGATCATAAAATAAATCTACTAACCTAATCTACAAATCATAAAGCCTATATTCTTTCCAGTTTATTTCATATTTAAATTTTTACTTTAAGATCACAAATGAATATAATTTAAAAGGTTAAAATTAATAGAACT